CACACACACACACACACACACACACACACACACACACACACACTCACACACACTCACACACTCACTCCTCCCTCCTCCACTTCCCTTAGTCAGGGTGCCTCTTTGTGAGCCCTTTGCAGGGGACCCACCACATGCTTCTTGCCTGGTAGCATGAACTTGGCTGGTGGGAGGAAGGGCCCCGTCTGACCTGTGTCCCCATCCCCCTCTTGGCAGCCATGACCGCCTGCCCTACCAGAGGCGATACCGGGAGCGCCGTGACAGTGACACGTACCGGTGTGAAGAGCGGAGCCCATCCTTTGGAGAGGACTGCTACGGATCTTCACGTTCCCATCATCGTCGGCGGTCACGGGAGAGGGAGCCATACCGGGCCCGCAAACATGCCCACCACTGCCACAAACGCCGCACTAGGTCTTGTAGCAGCGCCTCCTCGGTGAGTATTGGCCAGAGTGTGCTGGCTGGGGCTCCGAGGCCTCATCTCTTTCTAGCACTCTCTCATGCTGGCTGGTCTGGGTGAGTACTGCCAGCCCTGCGCACATGCATCTGGTGTGCGTGCATGTGTGTGTGTGTGTGTGTGTGTGTATGTTTCGTCTGGTTTAGGTACAGGCCTGAACAGAGGGCCCAGCTCCTCTATCTTCTGACCCGTTGGCAGTGGCAGCTGTAGGGGCTCTGGTTCCGGCGCTGGCTGGCCCCTGGCCGGTTTCTGTCTCCACAATGCTCCAGGCACAGACTGCATGGGTGCACGTGGCCGGGGACACTTCTTAGGAATCCTAATAGGGTTGCTGGTAGGTGGTCTGGAGTTACCTGGGCCTCCCCACCTAAAGATTGCCTCCACACACAGCTGAGTGCTCCGACTGGTGTGGAATACACCTACTTTTGCAGTCTCACCTCCACGCCCCTCCCCAGAGGTCCGGAGGCTTGAGTGCCCATGGCAGCTCAGACTGGGAGCATCCCTTTGGACCTCCAGCCAAGCCTTCTTCAGCCTAGCCTCTTCACATGAGGTGCAGTCAAGGCGAGGGGGACAAGCTGCCTGTGTGATGGGACATATAAAGAAATGGCAGAAAGGCCTGCAACCCCAAGCCTTGTCCAGTTGCAGGCCACATGCCAAGAGCCGGGTCTGGCGGTATTCCTAGCATGCAGGGTTGTATAGATCCCTGCTGAGGCCAGGAGCCCACACTGCACTCTGACCTCTGGGAAGGAAAGCCCGTTGTGTGTCTCTGAGGCTATGTGTTGTCTTTTCCTTTCCATTCCTCTTCCCTTTCTCACTCCCTCCTGCCAGCCATGAGGCCCCTGAGAAGTGGCGGACCAGTGGAGGGGGCCAGGCATCTTCTCTCCCTAGCTCCGGTGACATCGTTGAGTGGCCTGTGCTGTGGGTTGACCGTGCAGGCGCCCAGCATGACCTGGTGGCCTCTCTGCACACTGCCGCACACAGCCACACACTGCCACAAAAGGGCAGTGCAGGCCTGTGGCTCTGCTTCTCTTTTTGGTGCTTTCTGTCATGAGGCTCTGGATGGCCCTGGCCTGTGAGTAGCATGGGTGCCAAGGCCAGGGCAGGAGCTGGCTTGGGGCCTGTGTGGGCCATTGTGGTAGGAGGCCTGGAGGTCGACCAGCCCAGAGGATCCTGGGCTCCTTCCCCGCTTGACGCTGGTGGCAGAAGGGTTGCTGATGGAAGGCCGTTTCTGGTGGTGATGTTAAGTCTTAAGTCTGGCCACGTCTAGGGTAGCAGCTTGGCTCTGAGTGGCAGCTGTCGGGTACCTGCAGGGCTGTATGGGCAAACAGGCAGGCAAGGACAGGCTGGGCATTCTGCAGCTGAAGCCAGAGTGACCTTGACCATTCTGGATGATCGGACCCAGGCTGGACCAGCTACCTTCTTGCGCCGTTTGCACTGCGTCTTCACCCTGGCCGAAGCGTCGTGGGAGGGCCTGGGAGGGGGAGACTTGGTGGAGGAGGGAGTCAGGGCTGTGGCTCTCTGAACGGCCAGCCTGGCCCCCTGGCAGCAGAGGCTGGTCATCTTTCTGAGCATTTGCGGCATCCTTCTCTTAGATAATGTCCGAGTTTTCTTTACATACCTGTAGCTGTTTTTACTTTTCTGTTTTTGAAGTCAGTTTGTGTCTTGACGTGTCCCTTGCAATATCCCTATCGTTATATATGCTGTGTGCCTTATGAAATGCTGGGATCTGGAAAATCCAACCAACCAACCAACCAACCAACCAACCAACCAACCAACCAACCCACCGGCTCCTCACCGTCTCCACCTCTGCCTTTGACTGACACCTCAATCTGTCAATCGGAACCGCCTACCATGCGATTGGTCGGATGGCGTTTCGGGGGGCGGTGCATGCAGAGAAGCCAACAGAGCAGTAAGCGCAGCAGCCGGAGTGTGGAAGATGACAAGGAGGGCCACCTGGTGTGCCGGATCGGCGATTGGCTCCAAGAGCGATGTACAGCCACCTTTCGTAAAACTTTACCTCTCTACTTTCTACCCCCTTGTTAGACCAGACCTCTCCTGCCCGGAGGGGCCTCTAGTGCGCGTGGTGCCTTAGCGGGGCCACCAGTAATTGCCTGAATGACACAAACACTAGCAACTTCTGTTTTTAAGAGTGTAGCAGTGAGAGAGAAACCTTTTTTGTTTTTGAGAATTTGAATGCTGTGAACTGCAGGAGCTGCCGACCCTCTGTCTTCCAGACTCTCATGCTCTGCTTCTTTTCTCTCCTAGATGAGATTGTGGGGAACCTGGGCGAAGGCACCTTTGGCAAGGTGGTGGAGTGCTTGGACCATGCCAGGTGAGCGAGCTTCCTCGGAAGAGCTGGCCTGAGGTTCTTGAAGGTGGTGGTAGTCAGAGCTTAACCTGTTTCTTTTTGAAGGGTAGCACCAAAGCAGGGTTCTGACCTGCACGTGTTGGCGTTTTGCTGATCCCCTGAAATAGGGAGAAACCACTGGGGTTCCATAGGCATGTGGCATGCCTGCCCAAGAATTGCTGGTCCGTGAAATGGCTGGCCTGCCTGATTCCTCGCTTCCCCAGAGTGGTGTGGTAGATACCAGAACAGTGTGCCAAGGCTGCCTCCGCGGGGTGGATCTGCTTCCTGTGTTCACTTTTAGGCCTGGGCGGTGGTAGAGCGTACTGCTGAGCCCAGCCCAAGCACGAGTCCCCACCCTCTAGAGGTCTGCCTGAGAGACTGTACAGGTCTCAGTGCAGAGAAACACAACCTTGGGCTTTCTCATCAAGCAGGCTGCTGCCTCCTCCAGTGTGGCTGGGGTTGTGTGTGCTCAGAGCAGGGGTGTACCCGTGTGTGCTGAGGTGCTGTTGGGGGTACCTTGCTCTCTACTAGACTGAACAGTGTCCTACTGGCCTTCCTCAAGACCAGAACCTTGCTGCCTCTGTCTTAAGCTGGGAGGCCGCCTCCTGGGAGCCACTACCTCCCTCCCTGCCTTAATGGCACTCTCATTGGTTTGGTGCTTAAACTACAAAGTGCTTGTCTCAGTTGAGCCACATACGGCCCATACATGTCTCTCCCACTTGTTTAGAGATGAAGCAGCATGCTCCGGGTTTGCCCATATCCCCCGGCTGTTGAGTGAAGCTGTGGGGCTCCTACATTCGAAAGTGCTTGGAGAGGATAGTTAGACGCAGCAGTCCAGTGGCCATGGGGCCCCAAGATACAGTGGTGATGGTGATTGAGAGGAAGCCTCCCTGGGCTCCTGGTTCCTGTGTAAACACCCTTTGGACCCAAGAAGTTAGGGTTGGGACCAGTGGGCATAGGGACATGTAGACTTTGACCAGAGAGAGCTGAGGCAGATTGAGCTGTGACACGGGGCAGCTAAGGCCTCTGGGCTGTGCCACTCTGAGTACCTAGAGTGAAAGTCAGCCTTTGAACTCACTAAGGGGTGGACACAGAGTTCAGGGGACCTTCAGAGGTTCCAGGGGGAGTCAGCTAAGAGGCAGAACTCAGCCCAGCAAAAGGAAGGGCCTTCTCCTCAGAGCCGTCCAGCCCTGACGCGAGCAGACTGCCTGTGGAAGTGGTGAACTCCATGCTGAGGACGAGTGCCAGTGGGGAATCCTGTTCTAGGAGGAGGCTGGTGGCCTTGCCTCTGAGGTCCTTTCTACCCTGAAAAGCTAATGGGATAGGGCGAGAAAAGCGGGTATTCTGTAGAAGACGCCTCTGCCTTCTAGCCTGTGGCCTTTCCTCGGGCACCAGGGCCAGCCTCCCAGAGGCCTCCGAGGCCACACCCTGCGGCCCAGAGCAGCTCGCTGGACTTCCCCTCCCAGCATCTGAACTTGGGCTGTCCCTTCCAGCCTCTGTAGTTACCTTTTCTGCTTGTATAGTTCAAGTGACATACAGCGGTGGGGCTGGGGGCACATGTAGAGCAGGAATTGTTAAAATCCTCACTGGACACTGAACAAGGTTCCTGGCACTTAGTGGTTTCTGATAAATGCTGTGGCAGGCAGGCCGGCAGGAGGGGCGGAGGGGGTGTGGTCAGGGAGCTGTCCTTGGTCCCAGTGGGAGGCGCCCACTCCTGGCACCCTTATCTTCTTGCCAGGCCTTCACTTTGTCCTGGAACCCCCACCCCAGGGGAGCCGTCTGCCCAAACTTGGCAGACATAGCCAGGAGGTGCCACAAGAGGGGTGTGTGTGGAATGCCAGGCAGGGCAGGGCTGGCCAGCCTGTAGGTTGGGTCACTGAGGGAGCAGCTCTGGGGCTGGTGTTGGTCAGCAGGACAGGCCTCTACTACTCTGCCCAGTCTTCCCAGGAGCTGGCAGTGGCTGAGATCATAAAAGCCTACAGCTGGCACAGATGCCAAGGCAGCTTGCCGTTAGAAGGGTAAAGGTCTGGTGTTGCATGGGGCAGGCTGGGTATCACGTATTTGCTCTCCTCAAGGGAGGAGTCCCGGAGTCCTGAGTGATGTCTGCCAGAAGTTGCTGGGTTGGGGTGGAGGGTGGGGGAAGGGCTAGGCAGCTTCTCAAGAGAATCTCTGCTTCCTTCCCCGGTGCCAGAGGGAAGTCTCAGGTCGCCCTGAAGATCATCCGCAATGTGGGCAAGTACCGGGAGGCCGCCCGACTAGAAATCAACGTCCTCAAAAAAATCAAGGAGAAGGACAAGGAGAACAAGTTGTGAGTGTCGGCACGGAATGGGAGGACAGCTTTCACTGGGGACAGCGTCCCCTCCAGCCCCAACTGCCTAGACCCCCTGAGGCTGAGCAGTGTCCCCTCACCTGGTTGGCGCCATACCTTCTCTCTCCACCCATAGACAGGGGAGCTGGGTGAGCATGCTTTGTGGGAGGATCCTCTGGGTTCCTGTCCAGGCTCCACCACGACCAGCTCTGAGTTCTGAGGCAGGCCTCACAGCCCTGCATTTGTGGATTAGGGACCACTAGGTATGGTGGGTATCAGACAAAATAGAAACCGGAAGCTGTTTGGGGCTCTGGCATAATCAAACACCCAAAGGGGGGCCACCTTTGGTACACAGATGCTAAGCACTTCCTCTCCTCCAAGCACCACATAGACTCAGGAAGCTCTGCTGAGGGAGTTGGGAAAGGCACTGCTGGTCCTGTGGCATACCCTGGCATTCTTCCATTTTTCTTGGAGATGCAGGGGAGGGGTGATGCCCATATTATAAGTAGGTGAGGCAGAAGGCCCCCCACCCCTCTCACAACAGGAAGCTCAGTCCTTGTTCTGAGTTGATTTGGGTGATGGCTGATGGGGATGTGCTCTTGCTGTTACCTGATTCATGTGTTTGCATCCTGGTGTGTGACCCAGTGGCCTGGGACTGAGTGGGCACTGGCTTCCTCTGAGGAGGGAATGGGGTGGGGCGGGGCAGCCAGCCCCCTACACAGAGCCTGAGCCTCCATCTTTCTCCCCTAGCCTGTGTGTCTTGATGTCCGACTGGTTCAACTTCCACGGTCACATGTGCATCGCCTTTGAGCTCCTGGGCAAGAACACTTTTGAGTTCCTGAAGGAGAATAACTTCCAGCCTTACCCCCTGCCACACGTCCGGCACATGGCCTACCAGCTCTGCCACGCCCTTAGATGTAAGTGTCCATTTGCAAATGGAGCGTGGGGAGGCCACATACCTGGCAGGAAAGTCACCTGGTGGTCTTGCTCTCCCCTGTTCCTGTCTGCACACTGCTAAGTGTTCTGTGAACCTGATGTACCAGGGCCCCCTGACTGAAAGGTCTTCGGGTACGAAATCTGTGGATGGAGAGGCTGCGGCCTTCTCCAGGGGCCTGCTGAGCCAGACTCTGCCGTCCCCCCCCCCCCCCCAGCCTTCGGGAGGAGAGAAAAGAGAGCTGCTCTAGAATTCGCCCGATCCCCAAGCCTGCTTGCACTTTCCTGCGAAGGATGAAAAGATCCAAATGACCTGGGAGACCCCACCCGCAGCTCCTTTCCACACACAGCCCTGTCCAACTACCACTTTCCATCTGTCTGCCAGCCTTTAGGAGTGTATTTGGTGGTGGCTGTGCCCAGCACTGCAGGATTTGTGGTGGCTGGAGCCAGACCGCAGGCCCCTGGGGATGAGGAGAGGCCTAGAGCAGGGTGTGCGTAGATGCAGGGGACAGGGACAAGCGCACTCAGTGAGGCAAGCAGCTCAGTGATGGTCCAGAGCCCTTTGCGTGCTGACTCCTGGTGAAGGAGGGCCCGTGGTGGGGACAGGTGGGCCACACTGCTCTGAGGGTCTAGAGTGCCAGATGGGAGCCTGGAGCCTGAACGTGAGGGGTGACAGGAGCCGTCATTGGTGGGCCAGGGATTGGAGGAAACAGGCAGGTCCCCTGCTTAGGGCTAGAAGTGAGAGGCAGGGCTGGCTTCGTGGGTGGCCCTGTGCTGGCTTTCAAGCTTTGTTGCCACCTACTTGACGTTCATAATTTCTGATAAGGCACCTGCATTTTCATTGTGCTCCTGGCGCTGCACATACTGTAAGCGGTGCTTGGGAGAGGGACCCACCCCAAGGTTGATGTTGCAGCTTTGGTGACAGACAGGCTGAGGCCTGGCCCCTGGAGAGGTTGAGGGAGTGTTGTGCATGGAAAGCCTCCCCTGCCCTCCTCTTCTAAAGCACCCAAACTCTCCAGGGCCCCCAGCACAGTGAGCCTTTGAGAGGGAAGCGTGTGCAGAGAGCTCAGTCTGCTCCCTCGGCTGACGACCCTGTGTCAGAGGCTCGGGCAGGGGCCAGGGAGGAAGCCGATTCTCAGCCTGCTCCCTCCTGTCCTGCCTCTCCCTCCAGTTCTCCATGAGAACCAGCTGACCCACACAGACTTGAAGCCAGAGAATATCCTGTTTGTGAATTCTGAGTTTGAAACCCTCTACAATGAGCACAAGGTACTGGTGGGAGGGAGGCCCCACGCCAGGGCCGGGCTACCCCCTGGGCAGTTCTGACCCGGCTGGCCTTCTTGCCACAGAGCTGTGAGGAGAAGTCGGTGAAGAACACCAGCATCCGAGTGGCTGACTTTGGCAGTGCCACCTTTGACCATGAGCATCACACGACCATTGTTGCCACCCGTCACTACCGTCCACCTGAGGTGATCCTTGGTGAGTGACTGTATAGCCCCCAACCCAGAGGAAGCGGGCAGTTGCTGGGAGGGAATGAACAGAGGCACCGATGTGCCTGTCTACCACCCAGGGCCAGTGTCATGAGTCACTGGTTGTCGACTTGGCCTTACTTAGAAAGGGACTTGTTACGGGGGTTTGGGCAAGAGTCCTGCCAGCCAATGTGGCAACTGCCCATGCCCTCGGCTGGAACCAGAGCTGACTCTCATAGCCTCTCTCCCTCTCGGTTTAGAGCTAGGCTGGGCACAGCCCTGCGATGTCTGGAGCATTGGCTGCATTCTCTTCGAGTACTACCGGGGCTTCACGCTCTTCCAGGTGAGGCACCCCACTGCTCCCCTACCCCGAATACCATACCCTGGCAGGCCACAGGGCCTTGGCGTGGGCACCCTTCCAAGGCCTGCCAACCAGCATGCTGTGACATTCAGACTCATGAAGGTTGTAGGTGTTCAGGGGAAGGAGGAGGGCAGGGTGGCGGGAGCACTCAGCTGGCAACGATGGAGGGTTGGGGCCGGAGAAGTGAGCATTCGAGACAAGAGGCACAGCGTGCATGAGGGTGAGACGGGCAGGGGTGGGTTATGTCTGGGGAGAGTGAGGAACGTGGCCTCACCCTGGCCCCAGCTTGGCAGGTCACCACAAGATCAAAGAGGCTGTGAAGACACTTGCCCATCTTTTTGTCCTGCTCTTGAGGGGCTGAGGCTGGTACTAACCCCCACTTGCTCTATCCCTGACCTTCCACAGACCCATGAAAACCGAGAGCATTTGGTGATGATGGAGAAAATCCTGGGGCCCATCCCATCACACATGATCCACCGAACCAGGTACGGAGTCCTGGCCCAGCGGCCTTGCCTGTCTTGGCTGTGGGTTAACAAGCTACTAGACAGTCTGTAGTATGTTCCCTGGCTCCTTCAGGCTCACAGCAGCCTTCCCTGTACGCCCAAGTGACCTGGCAAGCCTACTGCCCAGACCATCTTGCCTTGCTGGGTCAGCCCAAGACCCCGTCAGGCTTTGCTGCCATTATCTTCCCTACCCCCTCAAGACGTGACCCCCTCCCTTCCGTCCTTTTCAGGAAGCAGAAATATTTCTACAAAGGGGGCCTGGTTTGGGATGAGAACAGCTCTGATGGCCGATATGTGAAGGAGAACTGCAAACCTCTCAAGGTCAGTTTCTAGCTTGAGCCCAACTCATGCCCAGGAGACCCCAGGCACTGGGCACACACAGCAGAGACAGGCCAGGCAGCTAAAGGCTGCCCCCTTGCTCCGACTCTATGGCAGGCTGTGCCCAGGGCTGCTGGGTGTTGGCAGACTGCCCCAGACGGGCCCTTAGCCCCCCCTCTTCCCCACAGGGTGGTTATGAATGTAATTGGGGAACACCAGAGGAGCCAAACATCAGAGACCCTGCGGCTCCCTGCCCCCCCTTACCCCAAGTTTGGGAACAACTAGGCAGGACTGAGGTGGGGGGGGCGGGGCCCTAGACATGGCCAGGAAGCCTCTGCCAACTGCATTTCAGGCTCGGACAGTGGATCTTGCAGAGGTGACTTCTCCCCACCCATCATGTGGGGCAGAGGCACCAGACCAGAAAGCTGCCCCCAATAGCCTGACAAGTTCAGAGCAAAATGCTGGAACAGGCATGAAAAGAAAGGAGTTGTTCGGCTTCCAGGAGGCATCACTGCCGCCTCAGCCATGCAGCACGCTCCCCACAACCCTGCCGTCCCTGAGTGAGGTGCCTTGTATTTCTCCCCGAGCAGAGTTACATGCTCCAGGACTCCACGGAGCACGTGCAGCTGTTTGACCTGATGCGGAGGATGCTAGAATTTGACCCTGCCCAGCGCATCACACTGGCCGAGGCCCTGCTGCACCCCTTCTTCGCTGGCCTGACCCCCGAGGAACGGTCCTTCCACAGCAGCCGCAACCCCAGCAGATGACAGGCACAGCCACTGCGGCGAGGAGGGCAGGCCTGGGCTGCCGGGCCCCTGGCTCCAGCCTCACCACCGGGCCCCAGGGCCCCAGCCACCAGTGAACAGTGCAATGTGAAGGAAAGAAGGAAGGCAGGACCTGCGGGGAGACCTGACGCCCAGCTGCCAGGAAGCACAGATTTGACCCCAGCTATTTATATGTTGTAAAGTTATAATAAAGTGTTTCTTACTGTTTGTAACCCCTGGTACCAGTGTGTCCGTCTCCAGGCTCCTTGCCTTCTCCCTTCCCTACTTTACTAATAAAGTCTTTCTTAGCAGTTCGGCCTGTGGAGAGCTAAGTGTGACCTGGGCCAGGCCCAGAAGGGCTAGCCAGTGACAAGATGAGCTGGGCTGTCCCTCTGGGTCCAGGAGAAGGGCAGCCCAGGCTGAGGTGGCAGGCCTGGGTGGCACCTGCTCCCCCGCTGTGCCTGTCAGCCCTCTGTAATCGATGAGGCAACATCCGGTTTCACCTACCCACCGGTCCTGTCACTGGCTGGGACCTGAGGCTGTACCTGCCCAAACTATGGCTTCCTGAAGGTTGTCCGGCATGGGACCAGGGGGGTGCTAAGGCTGGGCCATAGTGCCTCACTGCAGCCCACAGAGCATTTACACAGCACAGGACTCCATCATTCAGCTTTATTTCAGTGCTGGTTTGGGTTCCCCAAGAACTGCATAAGTGATAGTCTTGACCACCCAACTGGGGCCCCTTGGGGACTGGGCACTGGGCAGGATGCCTCTGAAAAGACCCAAGATGGAGGGAACATACTTTAATGACACCGGGGAGGCCCAGGTTGAGGGCAGGAAGAGGCTCCGGCGCCACCAGGGGAGAAAAAAAGAGAGGCTTGGGCACAAACTCCCAGTGGCCCCTCAACAAGGCCATCACCCCCAGGGCCACTTAGATGTACTACAGCGAGCAGTCGAGCCAGGGTTCTTCTCTTGTTCCCCACTGTACCCAGTCAGGGAGCCAGAACCCACTGAATGGCTGCCGACTGCAATGCCTGGAACTCAACTGCTCCTCAGGTTATGGCCCATCGTGGCAGCTGCTTGGCCCTGAGTGAGCAGAGGCTCGGGGAGGACACAGCACAGGGCTCAGACTCCGGCCTCCCGCTGCTAGAGACAACTGAACATGTGAGGGCGGGGAGGCCAGAAGGAGGGACCAGCCCTCTGCCCTGCTGCATCTGTCCTGGCTATGCTCCTATAAGGAAAGTGACAAGCGGTCTGAGACCCATGGCACCAGGGCCTACCCACCTTGTACACACGATCTTTGGTGGGCCTTCCCACTCACCCCCTTAACAAGAAAGGGTGGGCAGAGAGCAGAGGGGAGCCTGAAGCCCTGGAAAAGGCTTGAAAGCACTAGCCTTTTGCCAGAGCCACTGCCAGGGCCTCCAGGGCATGGCCCCCATCCCACCAGCCCCCAGGGCCCAGGCGGGGGGGGGGCGGGGGGGGGTGATCCGAGCAGCAGAGGGTTTCTGTGGCTGAGCCCAGACTGCTAGCTCATCCAGAACTAGCCTTATTTTGGCATCTCTGAGATAGGGTGCTGGCCCCAACCAAGCCTCCTCATCTAGAGTGGACAATCAAAGGGTTCAAATTCAGACACTATAAGCTGGGGTGGAGCCCAGGCAGGGGAGGGGCATGCACCCTGCTCTGGGATGACAGCTAGAGGAGCACTGCATGGGAAGGACAGAGGGGACAAAACAGCATGGGGCTATGTGTGCAGGCAAGGAAGTGGGGGAATGGTGGCTGAAGACAGAAGCACCAGGCTCCCCCAGGGGCCTCCCTAATACTGAACATTAAAGCTACACCCTGAGGGGTCTGGCCCCAGACTAAGCAAACACTCAGCCCCCAGCTACAGAGGGTATGGGGTTGGGGGGCACTGCTGGCAAGATGGGCACTGTGGTTCTACAGTAACATAATCTACACCACCTGTGCTGAAGACAAGAGAAAAACCGTATAAAATCCCAGTATAGTAAAACCGTCCTGATGCCGCCCCTTTCCCTGCCTCTCAGAGTGATGGAGTGGAAAAGAGGAAGGTCTTTTGGAAAAAATCCCAGCACAAAACTTGGATCAGCTCAGGAGAAAGGGTCAAAAGCCCCGAAATCAACTCGTGGAGCCCTGGGAGGCTTCAGCTCTCAGGGAACGGGGAGTGCACGTCCGCCCTCTAGCGGACAGCTGCAGCGCAGCCATCTGTGCGCGATCAGAGCGAAGGGCTGCCCAGCTTCGGGACGCGGAGGCGGGGAGCTGGGGAGACAAAGTCACAAGCTCTGAAACAGAGCAGGCACAGGCCCCCAAGCGGGACCTATCCCACCCGCAGGGGCTCGCCCAGGCCCAGTGGCTGTAAACCTGAAACACAGTCTGTGAGCTGCCTATGTCTGTAAACAAAGCCCCGCCTGGCCACGCGGGGAGTCGAGTAGAGAGATGCCTGGAGTCACAGCGCACTCAGCTGGACACCCGCCCTGCACACCCAGCGGGAAAGCCTTTCCTGGTTAAGGGCAGGTGACAGGTTAGCTTTAAATATGATCTGCTCTCTCACAGAAGAAACAAACCAAAAGAAAAAATTTAACAAGGTCCATGAAGCTTCACATCCTTAAGGCGTTTGCTGTCAAGTTCAGTGTCAAGAGCAGCAGGGGACTGGTGTCCAGCCTGCCCAGAGCCCCTCTAGGCAGAGTGCAGTGGGATGACAAACTTGCAGCCAAAGGGTGAGTGGTAGCTGATGCCCACCTCCTGGAATACCTGCTGGGGAATGCCGATGTCACACAGGTAGACGCGGCCAGCGTGCTCTCCCAGCGGCAGAGGCAGGCCCAGAGCCAGTGACCACTTGGCATCGATGCCCTGTTCGACTTCATGCACAGGAGGATCTATGCTGAGTACTGGTGCCCGGTTCTGGTTGGCCCAGGCTACGGCTGCCTTGTACCAGGGTTGATCCCGCAGAAAGGCGTTCTCGGGGCAATCCAGGCAGTTGATCACCAGGTCCACAGGGCTAGTGGGTAGATCTGCAGGTGGAGAGAGTGCCATGTGAAAATCCCTCAAAGCAGAGAGCAGCCCAGGCTGGTACTAGAACCCAGGCGGCCGCCAGAGTGTCTTGCTCAGGCACCACTCGGCTGCCTCTCCATGGCATGGCCAGGACTCAGGCCCTGCGAGTTCCCAGGCTTGGTTGGGCTGGGTGCTCGAGACCAAGGGCATGTCAGCCTGATGGACCCAGTCTTCATAGAGCACCTCCGCTGTAGCATGGTCCTGCTGGGTGTGCAGAGCTGTTCAGGCCATAAGGTCTTCACCGCCTCTGCAATCTGACCAACTCCCTGGGTATACTGAGCTCCGGGGAGGAGGGGTCCACCGCAGAGTTAGCCCTCACTGGCCTCTCCCACTATTCTCATGGAAATGGGTCCTCCTTGCAGTACCACTTTAAAAATGGGGAGAGAGGGCCGGCCGAATAGCTCGTTGGTTAAGAGCTGGCTTGGGACACCAGCTCTGAGCAGCAGGGCCCTGGTTCAGATCCCACATGAGGGCCAGTGACACTGCCCTCTGCAGCTAAGATGGTGAACAACAGCTTGACCTGGAGCTGGGCTGCCATGAGTCACCGGTGACGGCATAGGCTGCAGCCCCTGCTGCAGTGGGCTGCCATAAACTACCGTGAGTGACTGGCAGCTGGTGTGAGCTGCCAAGAACCGCTGTGAGCGGCCATTCAGAGGCCAGCGACCGATCTGCCTCACCCAGGAAGAGCGCAATGATAATACCAACATGGGCCAGTGAAGGAACGTCCTCCACAACTAGACTGAAGAACAAAAGGACAACAACTTGTCTGTTCCCCTTCTCCAATTCCCCAACGCTGTTCCCCTCCCCCAATTCCCCAATAAAATCTTTAAAAAAAAATAAAAAAGAATGGGGAGGGAACCTATCACTTCTCTCAGGTATTGGAAAAGATTTCTTTGCTCTAACCAGGCCTCTGGATCAGTGTAAGAACAGATATCACAACAAACAGATAAGTCGTGACCAATCTAAGAGGTTAAAATGAGAACAGCAGAAATCAGACCAAACTCAAGGGTCGGCATCCTCAGGCTTGCCTCCTGGCACTGGGATAGGAAACCTTTGGGGCAGCCAGAGGAAGAACTGCCTGGAATGGGCATCATGTTATAGATTTCATAGGGGGAGCCCACACCAGGCACCCTTCCCAGCTCTCAGCCTAACGTAATGACATTTTCAGCTAGAGATGCACGGCTTCCTTACTTAGCACAGGCCACCATGGGTCTGTGTGCCCCACAGGCGCCTGGCCTGAGAGTGAGGAGACTGAGGCTCTGGCCCAGGTTCTGGCCCCGACTCGCCATCTGAGCCCTAGCAAGGCCCTTTCTTTGGGCCGTATCTTTCTACTTCTCCCCTGTTCTCACTTAAACCCACTCCAATCAGATGTGACCCTTGCCACTCCACCTGAAGCTGCTCTTGTCAAGAGCTCCAGGGGTTTCCACACCACTAACTCCAGTGGTCCAGTCTTAGTCTCCATTTGAACCTGACCTAGAACGGCTTGCTGACACCCTCGTCGCACCTCCGCTCCTCCCCTGCCTTTCAGGTACCAGGCTCTCGTGGTTTTCCTTCTCCTTCACTGACTACTCCTTCCCTGTCTCCTCAGCTGGCCTCTCAGCTCTGACTTCAAAACAAGGAACTCAGTCTCACAACTTCTCTATGTACTCTCTTTCGCAGGCTCATGATGGCTTCAAATACCACCTACACACGTGCGACTCCAGGGTGGGTCCCTCACATAACTCCAGACTCATCTTTCCTCAGTCACCATTTCCACCTGCATATCAAGCGGCATCTCTAGTTGAGCTTCTGCCCTTCCTCCCCAAACCTCGTCCCCCAAGTCTTCCGAGCTGAGTAACAGTACCTCCATCCTTCCATTTACGCAGGCCAGAGGGCTTGGAGTCATAACCTTCTCTTTCTCGCATTTCCTACATCCAATCTGCAGACTCCATCTTCAAAATTGATTCAGAAATTAACCACCTTCCACCACTTCCACGGTCTCAGCCAGCATCGTCTCCCAATTCATCACAGCCTCTAACGCTCTTTGTAAGCCGATTGTCTACTGTGGAGCAGCAGCCACAATGATCATTTGGAACCTAAGCTGGATTGTGTCTTCCTTCTGCTTATTCCTCCAGTGACTCCCCATCTCACCCCAGTAAACGTTCCAGCCTGTACAGTGATTCACAAGCCCTTGACACCCTGACCCTGAAATGCTCCTCGCCCTACCATCCAACACTCTCCATCTCCCTTCCCTGCTTCATTTGTCTCCATAACACTTACTACCATCTGACATAACAAAAATGGTACTTATCTCGCCTGTCATAACCAGAATGCTAAGCTCCATGGAAGCATGGATTTAAGGGAAAAAAAAAAATCTATTGCCCTATTCCCAGTGTTAGGAACAGTGCCTGTTCTGTAAATATCTGTGAAAGGAATACATGGGTCCCCAGCTTTACATCTGAGTAGTGAGAGAGGGAGGGTGAAAGGACGGGAAGCCAGCGAGTCAACACCAGAGGCTGGCAGAGCCCTCTTTACACTCATGGTGCTTTTCCACCTGTCACCACTAGTCGGCACCATCACCCCACCAATCTACCAAGGAGGGCGGTGGCCTCAGCCCAGCCCTAGGCAGGAGCTCACCTTTGAGGCTAGACACTTGTTGACCTTGGGTCTTACTGAAGAGAGACAGCTCGTTGGTGATGGACTCTAGCATCTTGACAAAGTTGGGCAGGAAGAGGATGACCTGGACGTCATGGTTGGCGAGGTGCCTTCCACAGCTGATACCCTGAGCCCCCTTCACATGGGGCCCACAAAGCAGGGCCACTGTAGGCCTCTGGTGGACATTTTTGGGATTCAACCTGGAAGAGAGGTAAAGAAGCCTTATCAGGCACAGACATGGCAACCACTTGCACCCCAAACCAAATGAGTGCTCGGCACCTGTTGCTCTCAGAGGTCTTGACAGTCCCAGGTTCAAACGCCACTTCAGGGCAGGTTTACAGGATGGCATTCCCGCTGTCCCACGCCCGTGTCACTTCATCTGCTGGGTCCTCACTCGGTTCACCCAGATCTTGGTTCATGTAACACCACTGCCAGAACACTGCGTTCTGACCAAGAACACGTACTATGTTCACGGCGTGAACCCACTAGGTCCAAACTCTATGTAATAAGGAGGCGGCTTTCCCACCACTGCAGGGTTCCTTGCCCTTCGTCCCCAACATACCTGCTCCAGCAGCAAGGCTGGTCTCATCATCCTCTCCTGCACTTGTAAATCTCTTTCTTACTTCTGTCCAGGCTGTGTCCCCTGCCCAGAAAGCCCTTCCCCTGTCAAACTCTGACCCACCTTTTCTTTGAGATGCAGCTCAAGGTTAACCTCTTCTAGGGTTACTCTGGCTCAACTAAGAAACCCACAGCAAGTAGCAAAAAGGATCATTCTAAATCATCCTCAACCAGTTTCCAGTCCAAGTTCTGTTTCCTGAGCCACCAGCAAGAGCAATGTTGTAGATGCTAATAGTACCTATTTCATGGGATACGCGTGGATTAATGGATGTACAACACTGAGAGCAGGCCCAACACACACAACACTCAGTCGGTGTTGGTACCATCATGGCACTGGTCACAGAGGAGGCAGCAGGGTAGGGGTGCCCCGGCCTCCCAGGCTGGAAGCTGCCTTGGACACCCACCTCCTGATGAAGTCACTTTCAGTTTCCTGCCATTCAAAGCTGAGATCTCTCTGGTCTCAGAGAAGCCACAAGGAAGGAGGTTTAGAGGTTCAGCGCTGGAGCTGTGCCCAACTCACAGGCCATGTGGTCTGCCCTCGGGGCAGGAGGTAGGGGGAGAAAGCCAGCCAGAAACAGGCTTATGTCCCTGCTTGGGGTGGTGCAGTGATAATCACTTACTGGTCTCCCAAAGGGAGAAAGATGACAGCTGCTGCCAAGTCAAAGAGCCAAATAAATTTGGGGGAATTCAAAAATGTACTCTAAGTATACACGAAACCATGCGTTTCCCCCACTATGCTTGCACTGTAAGAAAATATGATGAGTACTTCTCCCTTGAGACAGACACTGCAGAGTTCTGGCATGTGACTCACCCACGTCTGCTTCCTAAACAGACTCTCCCTCTCACAGAGGCATCCCCATCAGGACTCAGAGCAGACCATGGCACCTACATACCAATAGCAGGGGGCAGAGGACGGGCACTGGAAACAGACCTATCTGGATCGGAGACCTGGATGTACAGGCCAGGCCACACGGGCAAGTCTTTCAGCCCTCTGAGCCTTAGCTTGCTCATCTTAAAACACCGGGCTGCTATTTACCTTTGAACTGAAGTTATGAGGATCAAACTCAATGCTGTTGTGAAAGGTTGCATGGTGCTTGACCTACATGAAAGTGATGACTGACTGGTGATCTTTCTCAAAGGAAAACCAGAGACTGCTGCAAAGGACAGGAGATAGCCCTTCTGAGTTCAGACAGGCACAGGACAGCCTGCCCCCAGAAGCTGGGTAGACAGGAACATGACTTTGTGCCACATTCAGATCCTGCTCCCATGCTACTGTTTCTGGGAAGCCACTTAATGGCCTCACACACTCCTGGGAAGAGCTAATTCCAGGAGCCATTCCAATGGCCACCCTGGGAGGAGGTGTGGCAGCCACCAGAACCAAGGGCCTGATGCCCCACCAGAGGGCAGCTTGCACCCCTCCCTCCTGTGGGGGTCTCCATGGGTTCTTCCCTGGCAAAGGGGAGGCCAGGGATCTAGCACGGCTGAGAAGCAGGCGGGCAAGGAAGAACAGACATCCCCACAACTCTACAGGGTGAGGGGAGTGGGAGAGCGAGAAGGGGCCACGTCACACCCAGCTTGGAACACTCAGACCGCTCTCCCACAGGCGCCAATGTCCTCCTCTCAGCAGACACCCGTCAACTCAAATTTGCTTCATCTCCTGGCAGGACCACTGCTGACCAATCCTTTCTTCTTCAAACACTATCTCTTTGGTTCTACAGCACTACCCTCTTGGTTTTCTTCCCTGTCTGGCTTCCTTTCTCAGCCACTCTGAAGTCTCTCGTCTCCTAACTTTGCCTGTAATGCTGATGTTCCCCAGAATTCTACCCTCAGCCCTTTCCTCCCTTTCCACCCTCTCCTTAGAGGGTCTTACCTAGTCTTGCAGCATCTGCGAGCTGATGACTTCCAGGTTTCTATCTTCTGCTCAGACTTTTTTCTAAACCTCAGACTGCTAGTGGTCTATCTGGCTATCACACAGGCCTCCCAGACTCAACATATACAAACAAGGTCCGTCTCCCCAAAACCTGTCCCTCTTCCCACATTCCCTGTTACAGTGAACGTTATCACTATCCAACCAGGAGTACATGTTGGAAAGCTTGAAGTTCAGTGATGCCGGACACTCCACTTTCCATCACCTCCCCCATCCATTCAATGACCCTGCCCTGCTGATTTTATCTTTAAAAACATCCCCCGCTCCCCAACCCCGATCTGCACTTGTCTGATCCCTACTTCTCCAACATTTGGCCCTTGGCTCAGGCTTCAGACTGGTCTCGCTGCCTGCAGTCCTGCCTCTGCTCAGTCTCCTCAGCCCAAATCATCATTGTGTGACAAGCCTGATCATGTCACAGCCCTACTGAAGCCCTTCAGCAGTTCCTTACCACTCAGCTGCACCGCAGCCCTGCTTTCCAGCCACAGCGTGACTTACAGCTAGCTCCCCAGCACTTCCACAGTCTCTCAGTTCTTTCTGCTCTTGGCACAGGCTTTATTCCCCAGATCTAGACTACTTCCCCCGCTCCTGCGTGCCCCTGTTAACTCTCTCTTGCTCTACAGGACTCAGCTTATGCCCTGCTAAGAAGGGTGACAGGTGTCTCCAGCCTGGAGTAGAAATGTGGCTTGCTGGGGGATCTTCTTTTCCTCTACCCATAGCATGGTACTTCCTGGAGACCTTGCTCGACTACTGGAAGGCAGGAGCAGTGTTGCATTCTTCTCTGTACCCTTAGTCCTAGCACAAGGTCTGGTACATGGTATCAGTAAATGTCCACAACTAAAATGAAGCATTGCTTAAAGAACCCACAGGGCAGGTGGGAAGGTACCAAACTCTAGTTCTCCCACTCAGCTGTCAGGGTGGTTCTAGAAGTTCCCAGGTATGGCACTCAGGACCAAGGTGTATCCCAGCCCCTTTGAGTGAATGAAAGTGCCAAAGGCTGGGTCTCTGAAGGTTTATGAAGGCAGGCTTTGAGTCAGCAGCAGTCTCCAAGCCAGCTGTTAGCTGGAAAGAAAGGGTCACAGCTGCTGGGAGAAGAATGAGGACTTCCAGGAGATGGTAAGAGGGGCACACAAACACCTCCAGCATCCAGGAAAGTGACTTCACAGAGGCTGCCCATTAGTCGGGCAGCAACCATGTGACGACCTCTGGTGTGAGGCAGCGTGGTGGGGCCCAGGCAGAGCAGCAGCACCCCACACAGCCCCCACCAGGCCAGTGGCATGTACCTGTTGGGTCCTCCAAGCAGGGTCAGTGCCATCTGACTGGCACACACGCCCGTCATCTCCAGTCTCCGCTCCAGAGTCAACCCGTGCTTTTCAGCCACCGACAACAGCTTCTTATGCAGCTCGTAGGAAACACTTGGGACCACCAGGCCGGAGTCTGAATTCAAAAGGAGGTGGGGCGAGAAAGGACAGTGATTACAGGGAAGTAGGTCACAAACGGGTGTCCCAATCCAGGATTCTGGGAAAGCCAACCCCCCTACCCGCCTTCATCGGGCCTGAAGCGTTCTGTGCAGCCCCCCGAGGCGCAAGCAGTGGGCGCGGGCCTGAGTGACGACTCGTTCAGGTTTACACAGAGCAAGGGTGAGTGAACTTCAGCTCTCTTAGCACTTCAGCTTTGACCACGAAGGCCAAAGCCACCAGGATGCATTGGCACTACCAAGAAAAGACTGGCATAGAGCATGTAACAGCAGCCTATCAACATATCAGGAGACAGCACGCCCGTCCCCAAGGGGAGAAGCGCCATCCTGGCAGCAGGCTTTCCTCATGAACAGACCCCTTGTTCTTCCCCAGAAGCAGAGCAGGCTCCACCTAAAGCCGCTGACCCTCCGGGCCACTATTCAGTGTCAAGGCAGGATGAGGTGCTCTCCCCATTTGCTCTCCACTTCCCCCTCCGCCCCCTCTCTCTACTTAGCCCTGCCTCTTTGCTCAAAAAATTCCTCCTCAAATAATTTGTCATTTCCTCCCCATTTGGGATGAATGGGACCCAATACTCATTCACAGGGAAACAGTACATGGAAAGTAACCTATGGCTTACTTTAAGCTACTCAGAACAATCGAATATTTTATTTGCCATAAATAGAGAGAACTCTATAAGGCTTAGGATGGAGACTCACAGTCATTCAAAGTATACCATGGGAAGTATTTGGCTTTCCAAGGCCAAGGCTGTGCCAGCTGGTGCACTTGAAGGGGTCTATAGTGTTATACGAAGATCTGACAATTAAGTTCGCACACTCATCCTAGAAAAAGTGCTACCTACCTCATTGCTGAATATGACTAAGGTCACCTTCGAAGTACTCCCCTTAGAACGCTATGCACTGACACCAGCGTCTAGTCCACTCTTCAAAGCAATTTTGGAACTCTTTTTCTGGAATGGCCATCAGAGCTGTCATATTACCCTTGATGTCCTGAATGTCATCAAAATGTCTTCCTTTCAATACTTCATTTCTCTTTGGGTAAAGAAAGAAGTCACTGGGGCCAGATAAGGTGAGTAGGGAGGGTGTTCCAATACAGTGATTTGTTTACTGGTTAAAACTCCCTCACAGGGCCGGCCGAGTGGTGCGTTGGTTAAGAGCTGGCTTGGGACACCAGCTCTGAGCAGCAGGGCCCTGGTTCGGATCTCACATGAGGGCCAATGACACTGCCCTCTACATCTAAGATGGTGAACAACAGCTCAGCCTGGAGCTGGGCTGCCATGAGTTGCCAGCGACGGCAGAGGCTGCAGCCCCTGCTCCAGTGGGCTGCCATAAGCTACCGTGCATGGGCAGCTGGCTGCCAGTGTGAGCTGCCAAGAGCCCCCGTTAGCGGCCGTCCAGAGGCTGGCGACCGATTTGCCTCACCCAGGAAGAACACAATGATAATACCAACATGGGCCAGTGAAGCAATGTCCTCCACAACCAGACTGAAGAACAAAAGGACAGCAACTTGTCTGTTCCCCTCCCTCAATTCCCCAATAAAATCTTTAAAAAATAAATAAATAATAAAATCTCACTCACAGACAGTGCCATGTGAGCTGATGCATTGTCGTGATGCAAGAGCCATGAACTGTTGGCAAAAAGTTCAGGTCGCCTAATTTTTTCACGCAGCCTTTTCAACACTTCCAAATAGTAAACTTGGTTAACTGTTTGTCCAGTTGGTACAAATTCATGATGAATAATCCCTCTGATATCAAAAAAGGTTAGCGAAATCATGGCAACAAAGTTTGCGACCTTAACTGTCAGACCTCGTATGCGTCAGTATTAATACATCCTGTGCTGCTTCAGGGCCCCGAAAATCCTGACAGGAGAGAAACAGCAAGGTGAAAACCTGTGATCTGTACCACGCAGCTTGTGCCACCTTACAAATACTAGAAGCCACTGGGAGGGAGCAGACGCTCTGCCAAAGCACCCCATGTGGCCTCAGAAACATGATTCCCGTCAGCAAGTCCTGTGGGCCGCGTGTGACGAGCTGTGTCTGGCTCCATTAGACGCCTTCTTAGGTCCTGTGTCCTCATCCATACTGGACCGTAAACTCCTCCAGGTAGGGAAATAGCCTTTTCCTTTTGGGTCCTCTCCTCAGCGTGTCTTATTGACAAGGTGAGTTCTCACCAGGGACTCAAACATGCAAGCAATGCAAACCTAGTGCCACTTCTGGTCTGGCCGAACTCTAAGGCGGAAGTTGATCAACACCCTACTGCATCCAGAGCCTTGTAGAGAAAAACTTGTCTTTCTCACGGGTCATTTCAGGAGAAATTTCTTGGGGTTCTATTAGGCGTCCAGTTCTGCCTACACAGATTCTTGAAACCACACCAAGTGAGGCCATGGCTGTACACTTGGACAGGACTCAAAGCACAAAGGCTGAACACAAAGCACTCAGTTCTATAGCCTCATAAGGGAGGGGGAAGGGATAATAACTTGATGTGATGATGAGAAATACAAATAGCTGCACATCACAATGAGCGCTGTGGGTGAGTGGAGTCTCTTTGCCTGATGGGTCCTACTCCTGCAGAGACACCCGAGTGCCATGCGCAGCAGGCACTCCTCCTCCCTTTTCACAACTGTCAGTCGTCAATGTACCAGGTGCCTATGCTGGAGGCAGCAGCCTGACCTTGCATGTCAACAGCTGATTAAAACAGCCATTTTTATGGCCTCCTCCAGACACGCACAGCTTATCAGAACTAATTACGAGCCATTGATGATAGCAGTGTAAAAAAGCTGAACGAATTCTCAGGAGGCCTAAGCCACTTACAACCCTGAACCTGTCAGACAAGTCACGCACCTGCCTACTTCAAACACCCTCTTTACCTGCACAGTCACGCAAGGGAGAGCTTTCCTTCAAGTCTGCCCCTTCTTGTTCTTTCTGTTGAATTGGAAACGGGTCAGGGCAGTGAGTCTTGGGCCTGCCACTCTATGATCAAGCTTCTCTCTGGGTCTAGGTCTTGTGCTGTGTGTACAGGCACCCCCTCTCCCCTGCTGAGGCTCCCTGGGGGCAGGCCAAACCCTTTCTGTTGCCTCTCTCCTCGGTCCTTAAAGGTACAAAGCTCAGAGTACAGGAAGAAGAGAGCTCACCCCATTCTGGCTGGCTAGGTGTTCCACTAGATGGTCGTTACCATCTCACTGAGCTGTGCTGGGGCGGGGGAGGGGCACTGCTGAGGAACTGGCATATTTGGGAGCTTAGAGAAAGACAAGGCCAGGAACCCTTTTTGCTCAGTCTGCTGGTGCAAGGTCTAGGACTCCACTGTACACTACTGACTCTCAGAAAACAACATGCAAGCACCACAAAATATTTCTTTTCAACATTTACACACAAAGTCCAACCAGTCAGACTGGCTTATCAGAAATAGGCAGAGGGAATAAAATAAACTCCAAAGGAAGGGAACCAAGAACATAGCGTGTAAACTGCAAACAGTAACTTTGCCAAAGCCTGAGCATGGGCCAAGCCTCATTGTGTTTCTGTTGGAAGTGGATCTTTATTGTTCAGGAACCAAGGCAGTAAAATCAGTTGGTAGGGTTTCTCTTAATATTAATATGTGTTTTACAGATGTTGGTGAAACAAGAAAGGGAAATATAATTATAGCCAGTTCTTGACAAGCAGAGAACTTCTTAGGATATCCAGGAAAATGGCCCAAGCACACTCGGTACAGGCCAGGAGAGGGCTCCTCTGACTACACCACTAACTCCACAGCACGAGGCTAGGGCCATGGAACCGAACGGCCTGCCCCTTCTTCATGTCCTTGTCACTTCTGCCTGCTCATGCCCATACATAACTGTTTCAGGCCTTTCCCACCCTATGGACACCCATGCATGTGCCCTGCCCCCAACACCCCCCAGCACCATGTCCAAGATCCCCCCCCCCCTTTAGCCTTTGAAGCACACCCCTCCCTGTGCTTCAGCCTCCCAGCTGGCTGTAATATAACAAGGCTCCAGCGCCAGTGTCATCAGACCTGCACTCACCGTCACACTGACGTGGCCCTTTAGCTGGACAGGCTGTCTGTCCACATCTTATCAATGAGGGGCAAGCTCATTAATAGGCCTGGGGGTTATGCAGGACTAGAAATTTTGATTCCATTCTGTGGGGGGTCACACAACTGGGTGGTGATATCACACTGGTTCTTTTTTGGAGTATCAAACCACTGGTAAATTCATACCCTCAAACCCTCAATGTACAGACAACCCCTGCAGATTTACATCAAGCTACCAATAAGTGCAATTTGGTGTGAAGTTATCTCTGAAAGGAGGATTCATTCCAAGAAGCCTAAATACCCCCAATATTCTTTATTAGAGTTCACAAGGCCTCCCAGGACATGCATGGCCCCTGTAGACATCACCCCTTTACCTTGGACCCCAACCCCAACATGCCCCAGGCACACTGGGGGCCTTCTGGTTCCTAAGTACTTCAAGTCCCTCTTGGCCTCCTGGCACTCTCTTCTCTCTCCCAATGCTACCACCAAACACACAGCTAGTTCCTTATTCTTCAGGTCTCAGCGTAAATATCCCTTGGTCTCAGCATGCTGCTTCTTTCTTTCATTGTACTTAATACAGTTTGTGAATGTTTTGCTTCCCTGGACTGTAAGCTCCGTGAAAGCAGTGGCAGTGACTGTGTCTATCTTGTTCAGGGCTGCACCTCAGTGCTTGCACAGTGCCTGATGTGGGGGGCTACATAAATGTGTCAAATTAATGGCCAAATAGGAAGGAAACCTGAACAACAGCCTCAGGGCATTCCATTCTGCGGCTAAGAGCCCAGTTGTCACCAACGGCAAGAGAGGGTAAGATGTTTCTCTTTCCCCACCTCTTCCTTTTCCATTTCCAACTAGACCAACCTTCCCGCCCACACTGGACCTCAATCCCTCAGGTTAAAGCTCTGCTGGAACAAGCTACAGACTCAGGAGGTAAGGGACTTCCC